GTTGCATAAAGGGACTGGCAGTTGAACCACAATGCTCAACGGGGGATCACGCATTGACACAGAACAAGTGGAAGATTCTTTGGTAGTGGTAGAGGGCAAAGATTGTTGGAACAAACAGCCGTACAGATTACAAATACAGTGGGGATCGAAAGTTTGGGCACCCCAGCTAAAAATTTGTATTAATGTGCATAAAGAAGCCAAGGAAAGATGGAAAAATCTCCAAAAGGCATCAAATTACAGATTAGACATTCTTATAATATGTCAACAAAAGTTAGATTTTATTTCCATCATTTACACTTTCAAAATAACAGAAAACAAAAAAATGGCATCTGCAAAAGTTTGGGCACCCTGCAGAATTTATAGCATGCACTGCCCCCTTTGCAAAGCTGAGACCTGCCAGTGTCATGGATTGTTCTCAATAATCGTCTGGGAAGACCAGGTTATGTCAATCTCAAAGGTTTTAAATACCCAGACTCATCTGACCTTGCCCCAACAATCAGTACCATGGGTTCTTCTAAGCAGTTGTCTAGAAAACTGAAACTGAAAATAGTTGACGCTCACAAAGCTGGAGAAGGCTATAAGAAGATAGCAAAGCTTCTTCTTAATGAAAAATTAAGACTGCTCCCACGTACATAGCTCATTTCAACATACACTATGCAACAACAGAGACACTGGTAGCAATAAAAACATTGTGTGGATTTTATTGCTGTTTGTGTATCCATGAGGGAGATCATCAATGAGAAGGTTACATGTACACTCTTTACAGCAATTATGATCGGTGGAATGGGGGATACTGGAATGACTATGACACATGGCACCGTCAAAATGAGTCTGATGATATATAATTTATCATCAGAACACCCGAATGCTTGTCCAACAATATTTTAATGCTTGCATATAAGCGATGTTTTGCAGTCACAGAGGGCACTCCTTCATCAGGCAAAAGTGGTTCAGATATGTCTAAAACAATATCTTTACAAATGACACAAAGTACTACTGTCTGCAATCCCTGTCACGTGCCTACAGGTACAGGAGGTCATATTAATAAACTTACCATTCACCTATTTTGCAGCAATCATGCTGCTTCTGTGATGGATCAGCAGTATGCATTTGGGCTCACTTCATGTGAATGATATCAAGCATTCAGTTTTAAAAATACACAGATTTATTAACATAACCTCATTTACCCAAGAGGGAGCATTCCCCTCACTTCTTCTTCTATATATCCCCTGTATCAAAACAGAAATGACATAGCCAGCATTTAAAATGTCAATCTTTTCAATTTAAAATCTGACAAATGTTCTAACACTTCCATACTCTTCGAAAACTAAACAAAAACCAGGTGTTGGCTTTAAAAGATGATCTTGATATTCAAAAAATATTGTAACTAAAGTCAACAAATTACAAATCAAACTTGCTTTTCACAATATTTTACAGACAAGAGGGCTACTAAATCTCCTTAGTGAACTGTCAAATACAGCGGTAACAAAAATAGGGTTTGGTAATAATGTTCCCACAAAGTTTGGTAGTTTTAAGCCTTAACATCATGCTTACTTTCCAGAAAATAATAAAATAGTAACATCTAATTCACCCACACTAAACTAATATCCCAAGCACGGCCATCTTAATGGAGGGCCAGCTGCCCTGGGCCAAGTCATTGTTGTGGGCCCATAGCAGCTTGCCCATACTTGCCAACTCTTCTGGCTTATATTCCCTTGTCCCTAGAAGTCTTTGTCATTCTGTATCCGATATCTCAGTGTGAAGTGCTGTCACTTATGCTGTCCAAATATCACTGAAAACAGGTGCAGCGCTGATATTACACATATGTAAAAAAGGTGCTTATTGGAAAAATTGAAAATTGATAGTTCAATCAACCATATAAGTATTATAAAGTTCCAAATAGCGCAAATAATATCTCAAACTTGTGACATAATTGCAAACCATAAGCTCAATAAAATGCAATAAATATCTAAAGTGCAGAATATATAAAAACTGTGGTCTTGTGAAAAAGTTGTACTTGCTCCATTCCACATGGTTACATGGCTAATCCTGGCTAGTGTCCCAGTCCTGGTAGTGCCGCTTTTCAGTTAATCGCATAGTACCGTAGTTTCCTTTACAGAGGCACAGAGTTCAATGTAACAGAGGAAAGAAAAAAAAATCCAAGGAATAGGACGACTTCTTTCTCTTTGGGAAGTTGCTGAAAGTTCCTCCTTCACCTCCTCCTCTTTCCTTTTGGCGTCAACTCCTCAGTCACAGAGGCACATTCCAAGCTGTATCTGGCCTTGTCTCCGCTCAGCTCTCTGGCCAGGCTCGGCTCCGGGTCTCCGCTCTCGCCCCACAACCGCTTGGAATGGAGCAAGTACAACTTTTTTTTACAAGACCACAGTATATAGAGGAGAATTGTCTGTATACTCTGCAGCAAGCAACATGATGCCCACTTTCATTTTCTTACAGAGCCTATTTCAGAGGTGACCCGATGCAGTGATACCTATCGAGGGACCCTGAAAGGAACAGGAACCTGGCCTTACATTGGAGCAGATGATCTGGCGGACCTGATGAGACAGTAGTAATCTCAAATGCATGTTTAAGCGCACATCTGGTGAGTGCGCCATTCACTTATTATTAGTCACACCATCCGTCACTCCTGAATAAGAGAGTTGAACACCTTTGCTGTGATCTGCTATGATCCCCAAGTTCATTTAGAGGACTTTCACTTATTTATCACTATAACCACTTTAATGTGGTTTTTATATATTCTGCACTTTATATATTTATTGCATGTTATTGAGCTTATGGTTTGCATTTATGTCGCAAGTTTGAGATATTATTTGCGCTATTTGGCACTTTATAATACTTATATGGTTGACTAAACTATCAATTTTCAATTTTTCCAATAAGCACCTTTTTTACATATTTGTGATATCAGCGCTGCACCTGTTTTCAGTGATATTTGTTTTTAGGAGGTTTATGGTTACCTTTGGTGTCCCAGCAGCTGTTGATTTTGTAGCGCTCCCTTAACTCTTATTTATATACTTATGCTATCCAGCTCTGTCCTATTGCCATGTACAGAAGACTCATGTGTGCAGACTGTGTCAGCATTCACATGTAATTGATGGCAGCATTCATATGTAAATAACGATGGCAATGTGGCATTCATATGTAAATAGTTGCTGCAATGTGGCATTCATATGTATATTATATCTCCCTCCCCCCCCCCCCCCCCGAAGTTTTAGCCACCAACATCATACTGGTAGTCAGTGTAAATTCCCTCTTACATTGGTAGCCAGTGTAGAAATGTATTGGTTTTTGGTGTAAAATCCCCAATTACATTGCATGTCAGTGTAAATTCTTCATTACATTGGTGGTCGGTGCAAATTCCCCATTACACTGGTGACCAGTGTAAATTTCCCTTTACACTGTAGTAAGCGCAGAATTGCCCTTACATTTGTGGTCAGTGTAAATCCTCCTTACATTGGTCATCAGTTTTTAATCCCCCCTAACATTGGTGGTCAGTACAGATATGTCACCTCCCATCCCCATCCAGCACTGCCACTGATCCCATCCACCCTAAGCACTGCCACTGATCCTCTCCCCCCACCACTGCCACTGATCATCAAACCTTCCCCCAGCACTGCCACTGATCACACCCTTTCCCACCCAGCACTGCCAACAGGGGATCATGGGGCCCCTGTGTCCTCGCCCACACCCAAAAAAACCTATGAAAAAGCCAATGAAAGGTACCAGGGGCATCTCATGAGCCCCCTACTGACCCCGGGCCCTCGGGCATTGCCCGAGTGCTCAAATGGTCAGTCCGCACCTGATCCCAGGAGTCTTAGAATTTTTCTGTCTATTGGGGGGGTCCCCTAACCTTCTCAGTCCATGGTGTGCAGGCAGTGAGATGATGTGCTTTTACATTCAGCAACCAATCAGTGAGATATAATTAAGTGCTATAACATCTAGCAACCAATCAGTGACTGGCAGGGATGTTCAGTAACCTCTAGCAACCAATGGGTGAGCAGTAATGAGGTGCAGTAACCTCCAACGACCAATCAGTGAGCGGTAATAATGTGCAATAACCTCTAGCAACCAACCAGTGACCAGTAATGATGTGCAGTAACTTCTAGCAACCAATCAGTGAGCTGTAAGGATGCCTGGAAACCTCAAGCAACCAATCAGTGAGCAGTAACGATGTAAAGTAACCTCTAGCAACCAATCAGCAAGCAGAAATCATGTGCTGTAACCTCTAGGAACTAATCAGTGAGCCGTAATGTGTGCTGTAACCGCTAGAAAAGAGTTGGTGAGCGGTAATGATATGTTGTAACCTCCGGTAATCAGTTGCAATTGCTGCCTGATCTGCAGTAAACTGATTTTGAGTTTAGATGCTATTTATTGTATGTCCCAGTGCAGGTGGAGAGCGAAATTTCATGGGGGGCCCTAGAAAATGTTTGCCCAGGGTCCAGCCAATCTTAACCGCCTCCCGCCCACAATATAGTCCAATGACGGACGCAAGGCGGTTCTCTCGTTCTGAGAGGATGTCATATGACGTCCTCCCATTCTCACCGCGCATGTGCAACTCCGGGAGCACGCAGCGTGGTGATCGGCGGTGCGCTGTGTCCTTCGGACACAGCAGGTCACCAATCCACGGAAAGAGCCGAAGATGTCGGCTCGGTCATGTAATCAGCTGTGTCCAATCACAGCTGATCGCATGTAAACAGGGAAATGCCGGTTATCGGCATTTCTCTCCTCATGAACGGTCACGCTGACAGCTCGTGAGGAGAGGAGAGACGGTAATCGGCATTCCTTGGAGGGGACATGTGCACTGATCATCAAGGCACTGATGATCAGTGTGCCCTGATGATCAGTGTAGCCCCAGCAGTGCCACCTGTCAGTGTCCATCAGTGCCAGCTCTCAGTGCTCATCCATGCCACCTGCCAGTGCCCATCAATGCCACATATCAGTGCCTACCAGTGCACATCAATGCCACATATCAGTGCCCATCTGAGCTGCCTTTCAGTGTCACCCATCAGTGCTAGTCAGTGCCACCTATCAATGCCAATCAGTGCCACCTATCAGTGCTGCCAATCAGTGCCACCTATAAGTGCCAGTCAGTGCCGCCTATCAGTGCCAATCAGTGCCACCTATCAGTGTGCATCAGTGCCACCTATCAGTGCTACCTAACAGTGCCGGTCAGTGCCACCTATCAGTGCCATATATGAGTGCTGCCTTTCAGTGCCCATCAGTGATGCCTGTCAATGCCCATCAGTGCCACCTACCAGTGCCTCCTCATCAGTGCCCATCAGTGCCACCTATCAGTGTCCATCAGTGCAGCCTATCAGTGTCCATCACTGCAGCCTCATTAGCGCACATCAGTGAAAGAGAAAAATCACTTATTTACAAAATTGTATAACAAAAACTAAGAAAAAATGTTTTTTTTTTTAATTTTTCAGTGGTTTTTCGTTTGTTTAAGAAAAAAATAACAAACCCAGAGGTGATTAAATACCACAAAAATAAAGCTCTGTCACAAAAAAATGATAAAAATTTCATATGGGTAAAGTGTTGCATGACCACGCAATTGTCATTCAAAGTGCAACAGCGCTGAAAGCTAGAAATTGGCCTGGGCAGGAAGGGGGTATAAGTGTCCTGTAGTCTAGTGGTTAAAGATGGCCCTGATCCCAAGAACATCAATTGTGCTTCCAAGGGCATACTTTATATGCTCTGTAATTTTATTACCTAAACAGTGTATTTAAAGTAATAAATGTTGTTATTAGTGGAAAAACTGGGGAATTGATTGTAGAAGAATAGCTTTGGAGCCTGGCAAATTGCATAGAATGACTCCCATTCCAGGGACACAGTATATTACAATTCAGAAAATCATCTGCACTGCTATCATGTTTGTTTAAAGTATACTGTATGTAACTAAAATCTCATATAAGTTTTTATATGTTAATATAATTTTAAGGGCAGGTTCACCCCATCCCCTCATCTGAATTGCACAGGAATGTACTGTGTGTTCCTGTGCGATTCACATGCGGTTCGGTGCAGTCCATTCATTTTGATGGGACAAAATTGCACCACACCACACCAAACGTAGTACATGCACTACTTTTTAAAACCCATTGCAAATGGATTCCATGGTACAAAAGTACCCTGCGATCCGAAGCAGACACTGCATTTGCAACCTATGCTTGGGGTGTCTAACTTTTTATTGACACCTGCTGCAGATCGCAATGTAGTGCGTTTTTGCACGCTGTTTGAATTGCACAGGAATGCACAGCACATTCCTCTGCGATTCAAATGTGGGCATGGTGTGAACTGGCCCTTAAAGCAATTTTAAATTTAACCACAATTTTCACAAAAAATTATGCCTGGTGTTCCTGTTATGAAGGTCCTTGTTCAGATACTTCATGTTAGATTCAAAACACTCTGTCACTGTCTAGTATTTGTGCATTACATTTGCATCACACCCGTTAGAGAATTTGCCAGGTTGTTATTTCTGAACCTCCAAGGGCTTTAATACTTAGGAAAATCAGAGAAAAAGTCTGAATTATTTATCTTTGTATTTTTGTTTTGGGTTAAAGTGAAAAAGTTGGCATGACAGCTAGGCAACTTGCATCTGCAGAGCTAAAAATTAGTAATGGTAGCCTCCAAGCTTCACTTTGGAAATGTTACCTTTAATGCCAAGATATCAATTCCAGAAACATTACAAGAGAACAATGCGGAATGTCAGTGGGCACATGCATTCAGACAAGACCGAGGGCACACTCTGAGGAGGCTCTGCACTGCTCTGCTGCTTCAGTATATTTTTACCAAGTTGTACAGCAGGATGCCGCTGTGACATTCAGCTCCTGTTTCTTTCACTACAGGTATTGATACTGAACAAAACTAACACATCTAGCCAAAACTATTTATTCAGGAGATGTGGTGTTAATTTGAGCTTTTCTGCTTTGCTGCAGTAAGAAGAGGATTTAGACCACTGATTGGGAACAACTGAAACATGCTTGAGATAAACACAAAACATCACTCAGAGTGAGCATTTGCAATTACAACTTGATCTGTTCAATTACTGTATTCATGTCCTCCCAAAGTAAGCAGTGCAAGAGATATATGAAAGAGCTACTCCCTGACTCCATTAAACACTACCCAAGATCTAGACAGGGTAAACCAAACTCTTGCAACCTCCCAAAGGTATGGAAATTTATAAAAGATTTTTGCCTCTACAAGCTAAAATGACAAGAGAAACCAAAGACATAGCAATCAGGGTGACAAGTAGGGCAGCACAGCAGCTAAGTGGTTAGCACTTCTGCCTAGCAGCCCTAGGGTGGTTGGTTTGAAACTAGGGATGCACCGATACTAGTTGTTAAGTACAAGTACAGATGCTTTTTATCAGGTACACGCTGACACCAATTGCCTATATTTCATGCAGTGAGGTGCAATTTGAGCCCGTACAAAATGAATGGGCTCAAATTGCACAACAAAGAATTGCATGTGATTTGGACAGGAATGCGAGTGTGATTCCTGTCCAAATCATGTGCGGTTTCCCACATTGCGTGTGAACCCAGGCTGAAGTCGCTAGAACAAGCCTGGTTCACACATGAGCGGTGCAGGAAACTGACCTACCCGACTCTTACACTGACCTACCTGACTACTACACTGACTGACCTACCTTATTCCTAAACTGACCTACGTGACCACTACACTGACCTACCTGAGTTCTACCCTGACCTACCTGACCACTACACTGACCTACCTGATTCCTACACTGACCTACCTGACCACTACACTGATCTACCTGACCACTACACTGATCTAATTGACCACTACACTGATCTACCTGACCACTACATTGACCTACCTACCATTGACCTACCTATTCCACACTAACGTACCTGACCACTACACTGACCTACCTGACTCCTACTAACTCTGACTAGACACTCCTGCAGATCTGTTGGGAAGTGATCTCCAGCCCTCTGTACAGCCCCCACACACAGTACAATGCAGATCGGTGGATCCTCCTCACCTCTCCATGTCATCCATCAGCACCTCACAACACTCAGGATGGTGTTGGAGTAATTCTGCAACTGACAGGTGGTAATGGCTAAGGGGTTTTAGTCATCAGTTGTTGAGGACATGGCGGCCCTCTCCTTAACAACTGATGAATGCCAGCATTCTTTTGTTTACATCTCAGCTATCAGTGGGGGAATCCTATTGACAGCTGAAAGAACCAAACCTTAAGGTGTCGGTTTTTAGTATCGGTTCATTTGCACGAGTACTGATACTGGTATTGGTGCAACCTTATTTGAAACCCAACCACGGCCCTACCTACCTTGAGTTTGCATGTACTCCCTGTGCCTGCATGGAATTCCTCCTATACTCCAAACACATGGTGTTAGGCTAACTGGCTCCTGTCTAAATTGATCCTAGTGTGTGTACTGTATGCATGGATGTGAGTTAGGAATCTTAGATTGTTAGCTCCTTGAGGGGAAAGACTGATGTGGATGTATAATATACACTATATTGCCAAAAATATTGGGACACTTGCCTTAAAATGCTCATGAACTTTAATGGCATCCCAGTCTTAGTCCATAGGGTTCAATATTGAGTTGGCCCACCTTTGCAGCTATAAAAGCTTCAACTCTTCCAAGAAAGGCTGTCCACAAGGTTTAGAAGTGTGTCTATGGGGATGCTTGACCAATCTTCCAGAAGTGTATTTGTGAGGTCAGGCATTGATGTCGGACAAGAAGGCCTGGCTTGCAGTCTCCTCTTTAATTTATCCCAAAGCTGTTCTACTGGGTTGAGGTCAGGACAAGGCCAGTACAGGCCAGTTAAGTTCCTCCGCCCCAAACTTGCTCATCCATTTCTTCATGGACCTTGCTTTGTGCACTTGTGCACAGTCATGTTGAAACGGGAAGGGGTCATCCCCAAACTGTTCCCACAAAGTTGAGAGAATGAAATTGTCCAAAATGTCTTGGTGTGCTGACGCTTAAGAGTTCCTGTCACTGGAACTAAGGGGCCAAGCTCAAACCCTGAAAAAAAAACCCCCACACCATAATCCCCCGTCCAACAAACTTTACACTTGGTACAGTGCAGTCAGGCAAATACCGTTCTCCGCAACTGCCAAATTCAGACATGTCCATGGGATTGCCAGACAGAGAGGCATGATTTGTCACTCCAGAAAACATGTCTCCACTGCTCTAGAGTCCAGAGGCGGCATGCTTCACACCACTGCATCCAACGATTTGCATTGCGCTTGGTGATGTAAGGCTTGGATGCAGCTGCTCGGCCATGGAAACCCATTCCATGAAGCTCTCTATGCACTGTTGTTATGCTAATCTGAAGGCCACATGAAGTTTGGAGGTCTTTAGCTATTGACTCTGCGGACAGTTGGCAACTTCTGAGCACTGTACACTTCATCATGTGGTGACCCCGCTCTGTCATTTTACGTGGCCTACCACTTTGTTGCTGAGTTGCTGTTGTTCCCAGTTGCTTCTGCTTTGTTATAATACCACTAATAGTTAATCGTGGAATATTTAGTAGCAAGGAAATTTCATGAATGGACTTATTTCACAGCTGGCAACCTATCACAGTACCGTGCTGAGCTCCTGAGAGCGACCCATTCTTTCACAAATTGTTTAAAAGCAGTCTGCATGCCCAGGTACTAAATTTTATACACCTGGAAATGAAAGTTATCAACCTACAGATGACTGAATTCAAAGACGCCCTGAAAATCAGAGTGAAAAAATGATGCAGCAGGCTAGTCTATCTTGCTGAAATTTCAGGAGTTTGTATGGTCCCAGGTGCTTGTATGCATGCCTGACAACATTGGGGCATGCTCCTAATGAGACGACGGATGGTGTCCTGAGGTATTTCTTCCCAGATCTGGACCAAGGCATCACTGAGATCTGGACAGTCTGAGGTGCAACCTGGTGGTGTCGGATGGACTGAAACATGATATCCTAGAGGTGTTCTACTGGATTTAGGTCGGGTGAGTGTGGGGGCCATTCAATGGTATCAATTCCTTCTTCCTTCAGGAAATGCCTGCATACTCTCGCCACATGAAGCTGGGCATTGACTTGCACCAGGAGGAACCCAGGACCCACTGCATAGGTGTAGAGTCTGACAATGGATCCAAGGATTTGATCCCGATACCTAATGGCAGTCAGGAGGCCATTGTCTAGCCTGTAGAGGGCCGTGCGTCCCTCCATGGATATGCCTACCCAGACCATCACTGACTCACCACAAAAACAGTCATGCTGAACAATGTTACAGTCAGCATAACATTCTCCACAGCTTCTCCAGACCCTTTCACGTCTGTCATGTGTGCTAAG